AATTTTCTTGTCGATCACTTTCAGTAGACTCTTCTATTCCACAATTAGGTTTAAGAACCTCCTGATTGTCCATTGCAGCAACTTTCTCCACTTTGTCACTCAGATTGCTACCAATTTCAGTGGGCATTATCTCAGCCTTCATGTGCTTAACATTCCCTGAGCAAGTAAACACATCACTGAAATCAATATAATTGGTAACATCAAAATTTGGATCCGAAAAAACATTATAATCCATGGCTTCAACTTCACCTCTATCAGCTTCTTGAGAAGATTGACTTGAATGTCGTGAATCCGCAGATAGAGTGCCATCCGCAGTATTATTAATTGCCTCAACTTTTCCTTCTTGTTGTTCAGCTTCTTGTTTGTCAATTTCAATCTTTTGCACCGAGTTTGAATTAACCTGAGCAGGACAACAAGTGGTATCCTCATCTAGGCACTCCTCAAGGTTCAACTGTGGATCCTGTTTAACACTTGGAAGCTCCTTGCCGTCCATGTCTGCATCTTCAGCTGCAACAATTACTTCACTTTTCTGACCCAGACTACTTGAATCTGCAGGTAGACTACAACTGTTTCCAGTGCTACCATCAACAGCATCAACCTTATCCACCTGTACTTCTGCTGAACAATCCAAATTTCTATTAACACCATCAATTTCCGCACAATCTTCCACATCTCTCCCTCCAATAGCATCCCTTATTTGTTCTTTGGAATATGAAGGAACTGCTAAGTCTGGTTCTGTTCCTTCAGAAGCCGTCACAGCTGCTGAAGTTTGATCTATTTTTGAGATGGAAACCATGTCACTGGTTTTCTGATGCAAGCTATTTAAAGCTTCAGGTATATCATGACTGTTTTCAATGTCCACACCAACATCTTCAGTTTTCTGATTCAAGTTATTTGAATCTGCAGATAAATCATGGCTACTTTCAGTTCTTAGACCAACGACTTCAACCTTTTTCAGCTCATCACCAACGACTTCAACCTTTTTCAGCTCATCACCAACGACTTCAACCTTTTTCAGCTCATCACCAACGACTTCAACCTTTTTCAGCTCATCACCAACGACTTCAACCTTTTCAGCTCATCACCAACGACTTCAACCTTCTT